TAAAGTCATCGTCGAATTAGAAGAATCGACTCGTCTTTAATCCTTTGCAGTACAAATTTTCTGTCTTTGGTACGTTTTTATCGAGCCTCCCTCGTTACAGGAACGCAAAGGGTTAACCCTTTCAGATTTGAATTATTTTTTTTTCTCGTACTAGTGCAATAAATTTATTCTACATAACCACTAACAAAATTTACTAGACTTACGATGATTTCTCATACATCTGACATCTGAGTACAAAGGGTTAATTCTTAGGGTTAACTTGGACTAAAATTGGTATGGAAAAAATTAAAAAAAAAATCCTAATAGCGTAGTTTTCGAGGAAAACTGTCTTTCTTCGTGTGCACAGATAAGGAATTCACCCTACACGATAGCGTCGTTAATGTATGAGTCTTTTCAAATTTTGTGTCCTCAATTGTGGACGCTAGGTCCGAAAGGGTTAAGGCAACCTTTAATATTCTTGTAATTTTTATAACATCCTAGAGCCACGCCTCGAAGAACGTCTGGACCGATAAAGGGGACCGTTTAAAACTCCACGATAATCGCAGAGAATTCTAATCACGGGTAATCAGCATATTCGATGTTAGTTAACGGCAGCGCGCGCCTGCGACCCGTAAAATCAAACGAGCTGGAACAGAACGACATCGATTCGTTCGGAGGAATGGACAAACTTGCTACGTTCCAGCGGTCCGCGACACGGTTACGCTCGCCGTGACTCGTTTAGCACCGATTTAAACTTTCGATTCGAATTCCCTTATTAATCAATCGCCAGGACCGCGATTAAGTCCATCGCTTAGACGCGTCTTGCGGGTAATTCGAAACGACGATACGGAAACAACGCAACCGGGACGAATGGATTCGGCAGGCATCGCGGCGTGAAACGTTGAAAATTGCGTCCAAGAATATTTTACAGGAAACCAGTGGATGTATAGATAATAGATTTTCGAGTCGTGTTTATACGCAATTCAAGTAGAGTAATATATTTAATATATAATAATCTTAACCAAATTTCCGTGGTTCGACGCGCGCGATAATCGCGGGCCGTGCACGCGCGTGCGTTTTTCTCTGCCTCGTTCGCCTCGTTCTCCTTCCCGTCCTTCGACGTTCCCCGCTCGCACTCGAGTCCGTCAACAACGATTTTCCGTCGTCGCGGTCGCGCGAGAAGAGACCCTTCTCGATGGCTTTCGCCAAGTGAAAAAGAGCCAGATACGAGGTCGAAAACCAGTCGGAGAGGAAAAATAATGTACGGAAAATTTAGGTTCTCACCCCGCTTTTCAAATGGGCACTCGACTCGATTGAAGGGCGTCTTGCGGCTGGTGCGCGCGATTATTTTACTAATTATTCAAATTTTTCTCGGCGAAACGTTTAATATAAATAAACGAGCCCCCGCGAGTGCTCGATCCGAAAACTCGAGAACGAAACGGGGACGTAGGAAATGTTTGCCGAGGTGCGACTTGAGAGGAAAAACGAACAAGGCGGAGCAACTCGGAGAAATAAGTAGAAGAAGGAAAGTCTGGTGACGAGGCTGGTCTGGTTTTACGACTCGAAACCCGAACCCCGTTTCGAGCTCTCCTTCTCCGTCCCTCGGAACCGTGGGCCCCGGAGCGCACGCCGCCTCACCACAATACCTTGGTGCGATTTTTGCGATCGAATGCCGTCCGTGTACGCCAGTCTAAACAAACGAAACGAAACGAGCGATAGTCGCCGACGACGAACTCCGTGGATCGATTTCCAGTCGTGGATTCGAGTAAATCGAGTTCGCTTTCCTTGCAAATATGGGAAGCTTAAAAAGCATGGAGGGTGGAGATAAGGAGGACAGACTCACGTGGAGCTTAAGACTGAAAAACGTTCGCTTGGAAACATACGATGTTGGTTAGAACTTGGCTGAATTACACAACCTGAATGATGCCTCTCTGTCTTTCTTTAATTCTGTACTGCTTTCACAGTGTGTGCATTTGCTTTCGATCCAAAAAATTGCAATTTTTGATGAAAATTGTTTCTTAATTAAGTTAAGGACTAGATAATTGAATATATTACACAAAACTTTTTCGTTTGTTCATTTTAGATGATCCAGATCCGAGTGACAGTGGTCACCGCAAAACGCTTTTTCTTGACAGGGCATCTGAAAACAATCAATGTTATGATTATTTATCGTTACTTTGTATCGTAAAAATTATGATGTATTCTCCTAAAATATGCTCTTCTTGTGACACGAACAATTTTTATAAAAATGTCTTTAGATGTTTGAATAAAAAAATCATCAATAAAAAAATCTGTTTTAATTCTATACTACTCTCAGTTTGTGCGTTTGCTTTCAAATTTGTCCTCTCAATATTCTCAGCGCCACGTGAAACGCTCGACAGCAAAGAGACACTTTCGATACATGGAGTTTTCTCCTTATCTCTAACCTCCGTAGTTTGAAGAAATGTATTTTTTCGAGGCGGTATCGAATCCTGCGCGACTCGCCCGATGGTCGGTTTAAAATGTGGCTTCTAATATTACGGGCTCGGTCGTGGAGAAAATTCCGAGGATAAAAGGTCGATTTATCGTCGATCGAGGGAAGCTCGCGCTCTAAAAGGAGGATCCTTTTTTGACGTAACGATGAAAAAAGAACCAGTAACGTTCTTAGATCGCACGACGCCACAGGCGACGCGTTCGCGCTTGCCTACGGGGCTCGGCCAGCGGCTATTATTAGCCGTTTTATTTATTAGACCGGAAGGAAATGGGTTTAATTTCATGTAAACTAATAAAAATACTTGGCGGCTCGCGCGCGAGAAAAAGTTACGGCAAGACCGATATTCACGCAAAGGCCTCTCCTCTGACGGTGAGACCGGTTGCGGTCTAATCCTGAAACGCCGTTTTACGCCTTTTATAAACGGAAGTAAATTACCGTTTCTTCGACAAAAACTCTCGCAGCGCTGGTTTCACGCCGACCCGCGACAAAAACCCAACGATGCCAGAAAAACCCGCCACGGGACGATTATTTCCGTCTCATCCGCGAAATTCGACACGGGAAAAACCACGCAACTTTTTCCACGCGTTCGTTTTAAACGGTAGCCAATAATTCTCGTGTCCTGTGATCGACGCGAGTCTTCGTAGATTTACTTTGGGAGACTCCGAAGTGGCCATGCAATGTCCACCGAATGCATCGATTGCACGCAAGCAATAATCGCCGAAGCGACGTTGAAACTCGTTATTATTCGTTACTCGGAATGCTGAGATCCTGCGAGCATCGAGGATCGTTTACCAAGCGTATAACCGACGAACGAGTTCTTATCGTCCCAAGACTACGTAACGCGCTTACGTAAGCATGTAACCCGCAATTATTCGTGCTACGATGGATCACTCCAAACTAATTATTGATCGTTTCCTAACGAATGTTTGAATGCCATCTCACAAAGAACGTACAACGCGTCCCGTCTTCGACCAAACTTTCCACCCATAGCAAAAGCGTTGAACGCCTCCAAAATTCGCAACGATGACTTAAACCCCCTCTAATTTGACGCGGACTATCGTATACCGAAATTTCAGAAAAATCTCCAAAGAATCGATCGAGGATTCGTAGAGTCCACTAGTCGAGTTCCGCGGGAAACTCACTTTCGCGACTTCGCTCGCGAACTCCGCTCGCGTTCGGTTGGTTGGTCGTTCACGTTGTCGTCGAGACGCGCACGCACCCACGCCCGACGGCATACGGAATCGATCCTGAGAATCGAACTTCCGCCGGTGCGTTCTTCCGGCACGATGCCTATTCGAGGGTAGTCGGCCGCGTCGACGAGACACACTGACTTTGTAATTCCTAGTCCGCTCGTCTATCCCTCGACGTTTTCCACGGTTACCTGGCCGCGCGCGACGCTGATTGCAGGACGCAACGACGCAAACTTTCCACGTACGTCTCCCGCGGATATGGGATCGGAAGTCGCGGCAGACTGGCCTGGCGAATCGCTTCTTTCAAATGTCCCAGCGATTCAGACCGGGAGAGACTTCCCCTTCTGGAAATGGCGTCGATCGACGCCAAGGATCGCTCGATCGCACCACTGCTTTCTAAACACGAGATCACCGGTCTTCGCTGTCGCCTTGATTGGCTCGACGCCACTTTCCTACGGGGTAGGCTCGAGGAATGGACCCTTCGACCATTTCAAAAATTTCCAATAAATGTATCGAGGAAATTTACAATTTTAACCCTTTCAGACCTGAATTATTTTTTTTTTCTCGTACTAAGGTAATTTAATTTTTCGGGTTAACTTGGACTAAAATTAGTCTAGAAAAAAAATCTTAATAGTGTGGTTTTCAAGGAAAACTGGCTTTTCTTCGTGTGGCCAAATAAGGACATTCGTTCTAAACGATAGTGTCGGTAATTTTTTAATTTTGTGTCTTCAATTGTGGATGCCAGGTCTGAAACGGTTAAGTCTATACATTTGTCAGTCTATCTTGGAATCTTGTAAACTATTTTTATTCCCTTTTGTGTTCTTTGCGTATAGAGCATAGTCGAACCTCGGTCGTTTGTCGCAGGGCTCGCGATGTCTGACCCAGTGCGACTCGTGATTCCTTCCAATGGCTTCTACGAGCCGCGGACGTGTATCTACGTCGATTTGTAATAGTTGTATGCTAGCGTTGTACCACCATTCAACGCGACATAGTTGTGCACGTGATTACCGAAACGACTGGATTTATAACGCGGACGCGCGATCGCTTCTTCGTTTTCAAGACTCGCCCTGACTCTTCGTTGTAAAATCGACGCAAGGGATCGACTGGTTTCGCGGTTATCGTGCATCGGGATGTAACCGAGCGGTCAGGGTGGGGACGACTCGTTCGGAGCGAGGAGGCCTGTGATCGGAAGGAAGACGAAACGCGCAAACTGTATCGGCGTAAGATGAAAGAAACACGCAACGCGAACTCCAAATTTGAAAGATCTTACCTAACGATCTGAACAGATAATCAAAATTCGATCGTCAGCTGTGGTCATTCTCACCAAAATACCAAGGTCTTGCCGTTTCAATAAATACCTCGGAATGATTTCTGGCAGTATCAACGGTAGGCTCTTTAAGCTTCTTCAAGATGGCTCCTTCACGGAGGGTTAAACGGTGTTAATCCGAGGATGGCAAAAGACTGCGAGTTCCCCCTGTAACAGAAAGCGAATTAAAGTGTTAGTAACGTAGGTAGAAACCTCTTTTAACCCTTCTGAACCCTCGCACGGCAAGGGCAGCAGGGTGGCTAGAGGGTCCCAAGTCCATTCCGAATGGTTCCGATCACGTTTAATAGGAAATCGGCGGTAAACTCAACCGTAGTCGAGGTGGCGGTACGTTATCATAAACGCCGTCACGTTTTTCAGCGTCCACTGCTTTTAAGCAGAATGGACCCTACAGCGATGAAAGATCGAGAGACGATCGCCGGTAGAGGACCGGATCAGATGGGACAGAAGGTCTGAAGGCGAGCAGAGCCGAAGTGGACGAACGCGAAGAGGAAAAAGTAGAAGAAGAAGAAGAAGAAGAAGAACAAGAAGAAGAAGAACAAGGAGAAGAAGAAGAAGAAGAAGAAGAAGAAGAAGAAGAGGAAGAAGAAGAAGAAGTCGAGGCAGCGGATGAAGGAGGAGGGGCAATTCTTCCCGCGGGTCCGATCCGTGGCTTCCTTCATCCTTCGTGGCCGAGCTTCGGCTGTTTTCATGGCCGTCATTTAGTAGGTTCGTTCACCCCTGGGCGCAGGGTCGCGCGAGAGGAGCAGCGAGGTCGGAGGAGGGAGAAATCGGCGGCGGGAAGAAGAGGAAGAGGAAGAGGAGGTGGGGGCGGAGACGGCTCGACGTAGGAGGAAGGGAGAAACGCGAAGCAGGGAGGAAGACGGCGAAGAAGAGAAGCAGGAAGGGTGGAGGACGGGGGTAAAGGGGCCAGACGGCACGTACTGCTCGACTCGGCTCGGCTCGGCTCGGCGTGCAAGCAACGACTCGCGGATCGAGGGGACGCGTAGATCCCCGAGCCTACGACCGACAGAGAACCAGCGACGAAGACAGAGACACCTGGAAGGGGGAGAAAGAGAGCGCGAAGGGTCGAGAAGGTGGACGAGGAGAGAGAAAGGTGACGGCTGCGATGGTGGTGGAAGCAGGCGAGCGAGCAGGCAGCCAGCCAGCCAGGAGCAGGCATGCAGGCGAGCAGGCAACTCGGTGCCGCGAGAGGGAAGGGAGGAGGGTAAAGAAGGGACCAAGGGAAAAAGAGTTCAGGCAGGTCTGGGATCGGACGAGGGTGAATGCGTGACGGTGTGTGTCGTAGCCACTCTTCAGCCCGGGGAGCGTTGTCTCTCCTGCTCGCTTGCCTTACCTTCCCTGCCTCGCCTCGCCGCGCCTCGCCTCGCCTCGCCTCGCCTCGCCTTTCCTCGCATCGTCTTGCCTTACCTTCCTTGTAAACCTGCCAGCCGCTCGGACAGCCGGCCACCGCGCGGATCTACGCGTCCCTCCTTCCCTCGACTTCCGCGACTCTTCAACCCCAACGTTCAATGAAATTCACGACATCGTTCGATCCCCTTTAACCACTGCCCAACTTCCGCCTACCCTCGATTGGGAAGAAAAGGAAGTCCAAGCCAAAATTTAGGCGCCCACCGAAAGCACGCGTCCCGTAGGTGGGTTCCGTGCACCGGTTCCGATCGCGGATGGAGATAAAGTACACGGGGATATCCAAGCCCTGGTGGTGGGAGAGTCTCTCCTTCTTCTTCTCTTGCTCTCCCCTCGACTACTTACATAGTCTGCCGTGAATGGTAGCGCGTGTTCTTTCAACTCGGCTCAGTCGTGACATTGAATTCCCTTATGTGACCACTTAGCAGAGGTTACGTAATTCTGACAACTTTGCGCGCCGTTCTTTCCTCGCGAGCGACCCGACGCGTCGGAAAAATTCGCGATCGGGCCTTCGAATTTTCGAGTCCAGGCTGCGCCGCGACCAAATCGAGATTCGTCGGAGAGGGAAAGGGGATCGTTGAATGGTATCGAAGGGAACCGAGGTCGGGATAGCTCCTGAACCGGTGCTCCACTTTCGACGAGACGAGGCTTTGCACGCTGGCATTGAAACAGCACCAATTACTGTTGGATTCTAAACGAAAAATAAGGCACGAAGTTTCGAACCCACGATCCTCGGATCCACAATCGACCTACACAGCTAATCTCGTAACCCTACGTTTCATATTCTCATTTGACTCATTATCGCTTTATTTATTGAATTTCTCAAAAGTTTTTAAAATTCAGGCACCCATCTTTGTATATCATTTTATAGAGTTGTTTCTAGCAAGCTTCTAAAAAAAAAACTTGTGTTGTCATCCAACAATTAAAAAAGGAACTTCATAAAAGTGGACTTGAAAGTCACGATAGGTTTCAAAACGTTCGATTAATACAATACCAAGAGAAAAATGACAGGACTTATAAGTCCCGCCAGTAAATAAGGGGTTATTGATGGGTATGGGAGTCGCGAATACTATAATACTTTTTCTCGTGCAATTGCAAATTTCGAAAAATTGTTTCGGTCCGAGGTTGACGATAAATATTGTAGATAGATAGACGGATAAGTCGCTGTACGCTCTGGGGTGGTGTCCCCTAAGAGCATTAAGCCACAATACAGAGAGTGCTTCAGAGGTGAGCAGAAAACGCCGACTCTGCTCGAGCGGTGGTGCAGAGTTGCAAGTGCAAAAACCATGAATGGATGAAGGTGACTCCGTTCCTCCGCCTTCCGAGATCATTCAACGTCTCGAATCAAATCTGCGGGCGTTACGACCTGAATCTACCTCTGGCAAATTGGTCCACCGAATACCTTTTCACGCTGCCAACTTTTGTCGCTTCTTAATTATGATTCTAAACCCTGGAAAATCCTGCAAAATCGATTATCAGGACTCTTCGGAAGGGAGCGGAGGGAGGGAGTGGCAAGCTTAGTTGCTCGGTGATAGCAAAAGTCTCTCTTCCAAGGAGTAGAACCGAAAGGGAAAGCATCTCGAGCTGGGCCAAAGCTCGATAAACTCCGAACGGTACCTTTTCGTCGAGGAAAGTCGTCCAACGACGCGGCCGATCGAAGGAAGCGGTCAAAGCGCCGAGGCTCGCGGGTCGGTCGAATAATTTATGCCGTCGTCGGTCGATGGAGCCGGTTGCTCGTTCGAAAGCGAGTCCAAGAACGGTCGATTAGTTTGCAAAGCGGTCGCGGCGTTTCTGCGTTCCTCCCGTAACTCGGATGTTACGATCCGTTACAGCCATCGGCCACCGATCGCATTATGCTAATAGTTCGGCTCGAATCTCCTCCGAGGTTGCTCGTACTTCCTATTCTCTGGCCAAGAGAGAAAAAGAGCCTTTGCGCCACCGGGCATTAGTCGTCGTTTAACGCCGGTCCGCTTTTGCTGGCTTTGTTCGTTCACCGGGCAGATTAGAGGGCAGTGTAACTCGGTAATAAACTTAGACGCCGGCACTCCTGTCATTACGCCGATCATTGCTGCCAGGAAACCTTGTCTGCGAGAGCTGCTCGAATCTGTGCCGCGGACTCGACATTTTTTTACTCCTCTCGCCAGCAACAGGAAGGAACTTTTCGAGTATTCATAGTCAGTCCCATGAGCATTCGTACCCTCTAGGTTTATCGAAGAAACTTGTTGAAATTTACATGGTAGCTTCATTATAAATATATACATGCGTACAGTTTACTCGTGTTTATTCGCCATTCATAATGAAACATTTATTTCAAAATATTAAGCTTGGCATTTAGTTTAGACAAATGTGTTCAATAGAGATATAGGGTACGAACCGTTATGGGACTGACTGTATGTGTTATTAAATTATCATTTTAATTTGAATCGCAGTTATCGCACCCCGAAGAGAGCCTTTATTAATTTTAGGAAGGAATACGCAAGAGCGAGTTCCTGCGATGGGCGAGCATAAATTCACGCGTGTCTTAGGGCAAGGCATCCTCGCGTTATCGGACGTAGTGTGCATCGGACATAAAACTGGATAGAGGAGTGTTTCGCGTGGCAGCTGCCACTCAAACGCGCCACCTCGTCCCATTTATGGAAAAATGCTCGAGAAATGTAGCCAGAAAACTTTGCTCTCCCGCTATCGTAAATGCTAGAAAGGAACGTCTTGGACGTTCAATTACCGGGTCTCTTCTCTCGAATGCGCGCTAAGCGTTGTCCTGATTGACAGTCGCGTGGCGACAAAATCGCTCTAGCAAGAGCAGGCTCGCATTCCCGTGTAGGTTGTATTCCCGCTAACTTCTCAAGATGCTTTCGTCGATTAGATGTAATGCAGTCCGTGAATCGGTAGAAGAAGGAGAGAACGAAAGAAAGAAAGAAGACGTTCTATCTTTATTCGACGTTGATCGCCAAGCTAATACTCGTGAAAATCTCCACACGGTTAACATTTTGTATCCGCGGGGTGTCTTTTTGAAGATTTTCTCCATCACCACGATAAAAAGAAAAGAAAAGAAAGGGTCGCGCGTTTTACCCCTCCGTCAACTCGACAAAAATTGTACGTTGTCCTCGAGTGCTATGTCGCGTTGGTCTCACCCTTCGTTTACCCTTTAAAAAAAAAAACCAGTTCGTTCGATCGAACACGAAGGTCACCGAAATGTGGTAAGAACGACGACGGTCGCGATCCCGTTTCAATTATCCGCGAGGTTCGTTCGAGAAGCGAGAAACGATTTCCTTTCTCGAAAGATAAAATAAAATTCATGCAGCGGTGAGGTTAAATGGCGAGGTGTCCGTCAAGCGCTCGCGGCGCAATCTTCGCGAGGAAGTCGGTGGGAAAAAAGCGATTTCGCCAAAGAGGAACCAGCGATAGAAGGCAAAAGGAAGAATCCAGCGAAGGGTCGAGAAAGAAAAGCGTACTTACGTTGTAACGGGCGCGAGGTAGGGTGGAAACTAAAAGGGAACGAGGGCGTGGGGGTGGGGGTGGGAGGAGGGTGGGTTGGGGGAGAAGACGATAAGGCGGAATCAGGGATTCGTAAAACGACGTAGCCGAGCACCGGAATGGGTCGTAATGCGCGGCGAACACATAACCTTAAAAACAAGCAAGGGGGCGAGACGGGGGTGCGGAGGAACGACGGGCGGGGGAAGAGGGGTTGGGGTGGGTGCGCGAAGAGAATGCGGAGGAGGAAACGGGGCAAGTCTCTGCCCGGT